GTCGCTCATTTTTCCATATGAAAAAATGGTCGAACATAATTCGTATGGAAAAACGTAAGTCCTAGCTACTTCAAACTTGCACTTTAATGTTACAATGCACAATTAAATCGGTTACAAAACTGCATTCTCAGAATTCTGCTTATCATAACTATACGACACCCATATATTGAAAAGTTTTGACTATTTGTTTTATATTTATGATATCTTAATTATTTTTTTTTATAAATATATAGCTGATTTTTTAATTAATTAATGTTTTTAATTAGATACACTACACTCCATATTTTGTATGCTCAATTTGTAAATCTCTTTGAATTTAAAAAATAATGCAGAATATGCATAATAATGGAATCGTATCAAAGACGAAACTAAAAATAATGTCGATTTTTTTTTTTTAATTTTTCTTAAAAATTATTGTGAGAGAGCTGAAATTATTTTTACTTTCAACTTTGTTTTGACCATGCACATATCCCATTATGTTTTAGATTGGAACGTAAGTTTTTGTATCTATTTCCTAACTGATCTCTACATAAATGACTTTCCCTGTTTCATGCCCTTCCCTAGTGATAACAACAAATACACACATTCAGCCATGCTCCCATTTTCGGAATCGCAAATATTTTGCGTTTTACTTTTCAAATTACAAAATAACGTCCTCCAATATTCGCAAATCGAAATATTTTTGCGGTTTCAAATCGGTTGCCGCTGAGACAGTGGAAAGAAAAGTAAATGGCAAAATTAACATAAATATCAAGCTAGCTTAGTTTTAAATTTATTTTTAATTACGCCCACTATATTTTGTGATATTTTTGGCGTCCTAAAATTAACTTTTTATGTTGATTTTATTTATTTAATTTACTTTTTATTATACACATCTCATTTTTGGGCAACGAAAATTTATCGAAGAAACGAAGATTTACGTTTTGGAGCGGACGATACATGTGCGATAATTGTTGCATACCTTCAAGGGATGGCTTTTAAGTATGCTGGAAACGAAGTGGAAAATGGAACTTATCGATAACAAAAAGTTGCGAATTCAGGAGCACCCAAAAATAAAAACGTACCATTTTTACGACAACGCAAATCACAAAAGTAAGTGAAAATGGGAGCACGGCTGATTGTTACTGTTATAATTTTTTATCGCTATTAAGCTAGTTCTACGTATTGCGAATTCATTGATAAAGCTATCCTCGAAACGAAAGGACTTGTTCTTCCTGATTATATTGTATCCTAAACTTACCTATTTTTAATAAAACTAACTGTGGAAAGACTATAAAAAATTGGCAACTAATGGGTTAAAATATGGTCATCAATGGGTTAAATTATCCATAATTTGCATAATAATAAAATCAAATTAACTTAACATAAGGCATTACCAAAAACTGGGTCACCAATGGGTTAATGCATGATCAATAATGGGTTAAGACGTCAAAAATTTACTCTTAAAGAGTAGTTCAAGCGAGTCTAATGCAAAGAAAAAATTTTCAGAATTATGAGCACCCGCTTATATGGGCCGGCCCTAGTGTGTGGTAGTACAAAATATTTTTTATTGCCTGGTCGCGTACTGATTTATGATCATCGTAAAGCATTGATAGTATAACATTTGCTGAATGAGCAAAGTATGAGTTACTGAGTTCATAACTTGCCGCTCCTTGGAGCGAAGAAATTGCGCTCTGGTATGGTCTGGTCAAAAGAATCTTTATTGATTGTTTTGTATTCCTGTGTTATTTAATAAAAAAATTAAAGACTAACTGCAGGTTTTACCAGCAATTTAAGTGAAAAATGGTTTTCCCTTTTGGTAGTTTTCATAATAAATTCGTGAACCTGGATATAATTTTCGCGAAGAAATTTAAATGTTTTATTCAACATTCATTCGATGGCATTTGATGTAGTCCAGGGGTAAAAGCGAGCACTGCCACTCGGTCGGACCCAAGTTCGATCAAAAAAATTGAAAAAATACTTACACAGAAAATGTGTGTTTTTTTTTTAACAGCGGTCATCCCTCGGCAGGCAGTGGCGAGTATACTTCTGCTTGAAAAACTTTCTATTTATATTATTAAAATATTTGATAGAAACCCAACATTTTAACAATGCATTTGAAAAGTCCCAATTTGAGATAAATTATTTGATTAAAAATGTAAAGAGGGTTAATATACATATGTTTCACTTTTCTACAAGACTCACAGTGTGTCGTGTGGAACAAGCTAGATGGAAAAAATTTATTCCCGGATGTCTAGAAAAGGGTAACTTATAACCATTAAGGATATTCCCAGAGCCCCGACTTACACGTTTTTTTATCTCCCAAATTCTACTGAGTGGTGTGAAATTATTTAGAAATCAATAAATAATTTTACTGGAATGAAAAATATTTCAGTCGAACTTCTACATTTTTTAAAAACCTCTCATGGTGGAAGTGTGCAATTTAGCGTGAATTTTTAATAATGGATAATATTTCTGGTGGTATGTGTTATATTTCTTTTACTTAAAAGAAGTTTTGGACTAAGTTTAACATTGGAAAAATAGGTTTTAAAAATAAAAAAAATGAAATTTTTATTTTATTTTATATGTTTAACGGACCAAAAGTAAGATGTCACCACATGTTACCGGGCTGGATTTCGAACATGTGCTAGTAGCTTCTTTTGTGTTTATAAAAATATGCATTTTATGCAGCACAGTAGAGTACAACCTTTTTTTTTATATTTTTATGCAGAACGAACTCTTTATATTACAAGACTGGATTTTTTCGAGGAATGGCTAAAGGTCTTTACACATGATAGAAATTATCACTTTTATAGCTTTCTTAAGTCAAAATTTGAGCTGCATGATGTTACTAAAGTTACTGAAAGAGATATGAAGAAAAACTTGTCTTGCTATTCGTCGAAAATCGCATCTAAACGGCTAGCTGTGGGAAAATCAAAAGAGCGTTTAAGTGCGAATAAAATCTGGATAGAAGCTGACAAGTTTCAATTCCGAATATGTCCTGCGGAAATAAAACCTTTTTTAGTACCCAGAATTACTACTTCTGCGGTGGATACCTCGAAAAGTGTTCGGGGAACCTTCATTTAGAACGAAAAAACGTAGAGTAGAAAATCTAGTTCTGTCGCGAAGTGCTGTAGTTGTTGATGACTGATGCAGACGTATTTACGCGTTCGACAGGAGAAAGGGCCAAATTGAAATAAATAAGAGGAATAAGTGGAAACCCATAATGCGAAAGTTCTGCTTAACAAAATATTTCAATGGAATCTCATAGACAATTAACTGGCATAAGGCATTAGCCTATTACGTAGATTCTAAGTGTACTGCACACTCATACAAGACGACTTGACAGTGGTCCATGAAAGTGGGTCATGACGTGTTTGCGTCATATCACTGTTTGAAGAAGTCTAAAAAGTTCTGTTATCCTTCTGAAGAACATGTGTTTGTATCAGAAGCAATCCCTGTTAGATAAAACCGTACAGCGTTCCATGGAAGCTGTGTGGGAAGGCATAAGCTGTGAATTCCCAAATTCATCGTTCGTTTTTATAGGCACATGGGGTTGTGCCGGAAGCTCTGGCCACAATGCTTACAAACATAGATTTGAGAACAGCGAGGATAATGATGAGTTTCTATTCGAATTTTCATTGGTTCCTCTTAGATAGCTCGGCAAAAACATAACACAATAAAATGCTGGCGTACTACCACGAACAGGGACTTGCTGTTAATGCTGCTAATGATATCAGATCCTCTGTTCATCAGTTTTCGAAGAGTTACTCAAAACGAAACTGTAAAATTGTGTCCAGAACTCATACACCTTGTATCTACCAATGGGACAGAGTCCCTGCTGCAACCAAGTTTTTCCAGAAATGAAACCTGACTGACTTATCGGATGACGAAATTTAGTATAAGTTTCGTCCCATTGTAAATTTTAATATAAATAAATTTTGTTTTATTTTATTGGATGCTTTTGTTATGTACGCAGCTTTGTCGAGAGGATATAAGCCTATAGGACACTTTTATGCTCTCATTCTCTTGTGTTTGTAAATTATATAAAACTTTGTGGAAAAATTGTTGTTGAAAACAACTCGAGATACATCGAAATCTTTCGTCATAGTTTTCACAAATATTATTTTTTAGCTGCGTGCCTTCTACCAGATTAAAGGACAGACTAGTAACTATAGACCAAGGGGTACTTAATAAATATATCATGACAACGGCTTGGTTTACAATAAAATGACTGTAAAATAAACTGATTTATTTCTTACTAAAGTGCAGTTTTTACGCAGTAGGCGTATAGAAAAGTATACCACACTATGGTCTCTCCATGTATGCAACTACAAAGCTTCAATATTCGTTTACATAAATGAATTTCTCCCATGGTGATAGAAAATATAGCTTTCCGAATTCCAGCAACCAAAAATTTTGCGGAATTCGTAATAATTCCAAAACCAGAATTAATCCGAAAAAACGGATGAACGGAAATCAGTGTCCTAAATATACCCAAAGTAACCGAAAATAATTTTGTTCACCTAGTTTGTTCCAGATGATACACTGTGAGGCTCTGCAAATGCATTAAAAGTTAATTCCAGAAATTTTATCTATAGAAAAAGACTCATAAATAAGAAAGTACGAGGCATTACGCATTTCAATGTCTGGTTATCATTACCTCCCAGTTTATTATCATTTTCGCCGTTTTCGACAGCCTGCATATAACATATGATCGATAAAGGAGTCGTATTTAACCGGCCTTTGTATTATAACATATTGCTCTTGTGTGTGAACCAGCGCAGTCTTGCTGAGCAACCGGTGTTTTGATTTATCTATCCGGGATCTTAATAAGTCGCCATATATGTGTTTGGAAAATCTACGTGACCTACACTGGAGTATTGGTTTGACAGGGCGGCAGTTGGCTACTGGCTGCGTAAACCGTCGAAATTCTCTTTTTTGCGTTTCAGTATACACGAAACAAGAACTCGCGAGCAGCAATATATTTACCATATTCACTTCATTAGAGAATGACTTACCCTTTACTGTCCCAGCGTTCCTTCTCGAACCCCTTGTGTATTGATTGCGCGATAGATGATTCCATGAGATCCACGTAACGTACAACTAACGGTGCAAACGTGTCACGCAAATGCTGATGGAAGCGCCCGTTGCGCAAATTATCTGGAAAAAATGTACAAACCCATGGGTACACAATAGGCGTGTTAAACTCATATAAATAAAAAAAGTTTTGCTTGTATTTAAATTCAAATCCTTTATGGTGATTTCGTTTCCACCAAAAATTTCGCTTTTTGATTGCCCTTTTCTCTTTAAGTGTTCGATTCTAAAATAAAGGCAAAGGGTGAGAAAATTTTGTTTTCGTTTCTTATTATTGCACGCTCTTGTAAAGCAAAAAAGTCACATTCTTTGCCCTGTGAAGCTTTTTCGGGGGAAATGGTTGCCCTGAAAATCAGATGGTTGTTTAAAACGACAATATTATGAAATGCGTGAGCTAGACAAGGACAAGAAGGCAAAAACATGTTCTTTTACAGGGTTGAGTGCAGGGATGGGCGTTTTTGAATGAATTATTATTCAAATAAGAAATAAAATTTTATTCATAACTTTTCTAATTTTGAATGACGAATACATTTTTATTCTTCATTCAAGCAATTTCGAATGATGAATAAATGTTTATTATGCATTATTCAGTATTATTTGAATCATGAATAAAAATTTATTCTTCATTCGAAATTACTTGAATGATCAATAAAAATTTATTTGTTATTTGAAATTACTTGAATAAAGAATAAAAATTGATTCGTCATTCTAAATTATTTGAGTGATGAACAAAAATTTATTCGTTATTTGACATTACTTGAATGATGAATAAAAATTTATTCATCATTCGTAAGTGCTTGAATAAAGAATAAAAATTTATTCGTTATTTGAAATTAATTGAATGATGAATAAAAATGTATTCGTTTTTGTTATTTTATGGCCTTATAACAATTATATTCAACAAATCTTATTGAGCTTGAGGCCGTTTTTAATGAAAAACTTATTGTTGAAATGCAACAATAATTTGAAAAAATGGTAGAAGTGATAGCTATTTCGGAAATCACCACATTTCCTCATCAGACTTCTTTCAGTAGGATTCGAACCGACGATCCCACTGACTCAGCCAGTTGCCTATGCACCGTGCTAAGTACGCCTTGTAAATTATCGTTTGCTTATTTCCACTATTTTCATTTTTGTTATGCCAACACAATCAAGCGCAGCTATTCCGCTGCAATTCACTTGATCATGTGGTTGTTGGTTTTGTTGGTTTGTGCTAATAATTCTATTTTTAGAATGCTTAACTTTTAGGTGTGCTCGTCCTTAAGTTATTTGTTTTTTGTTATTTTTTGGCCTTTTAACAATTATATTCAACAATTTTATAATGAGCTCGAGGCCATTTTTTAAATGAAAATTTATTGTGGAAAAGCAACAATAATTTGAAAAAATGGTAGAAGTGATAGCTATTTCGGAAATCACCACATTTCCTCATCAGACTTCTTTCAGTAGGATTCGAACCGACGATCACCACTGACTCAGCCAGTTGCCTACGCACTGTGCTAAGTTTGTCGCCTTGTGAATTCTTTTTGCTTTTTCCACTATTTCATTTGTTAAGCCAACTACAATCAAGCGCAGCTATTCCGCTGCAATTCACTTGATCATGTGGTTGTTGGTTTTGTTGGTTTGTGTTAATATTTCTATTGCTAGCATGTTTAACTTTTAGGTGTGCTCGTCCTTAAGTTATTTGGTTTTGTTATTTTATGGCCTTATAACAATTATATTCAAAAATTTTTTTGAGCTTGACGCCGTTTTTAATGAAGAACTTATTGTGGAAAAGCAACAATAATTTGAAAAAATGGTAGAAGTGATAGCTATTTCGGAAATCACCACATTTCCTCATCAGACTTCTTTCAGTAGGATTCGAACCGACATCCCACTGACTCAGCCAGTTGTCTACGTACTGTGCTAAGTTCGCCTTATGAATTCTGGTTGCTTTTTCCACTATTTCATTTGTTAAGCCAACTACAATGAAGCGCAGCTATTCCGCTGCAATTCACATTTGATCATGTGGTTGTTGGTTTTGTTGGTTTTTGTTAATATTTCTCTTATTAGAATGTTTAACTTTTAGGGGCGCTCGTCCTTAAGTTATTTGGGTTTGTTATTTTATGGCCTTATAACAATTATATTCAACAATTTTTATTGAGCTTGAGGCCGTTTTTAATGAAAAACTTATTGGGGAAAAGCAACAATAATTTGAGAAAATGGTAGAAGTGATAGCTATTTCGGAAATCACCACATTTCCTCATCAGACTTCTATCAGCAGGATTCGAAATAACGATGCCACTGACTCAGCCAGTTGCCTACGCACTGGCCATGTGGTTGCTGGTTTGGTTGGGTTTTGTTAATATTTCTCTTATTAGAATGTTTAACTTTTAGGTGTGCTCGTCCTTAAGTTATTTGTGTGAATTGCAGCGGAATATCTGCGCTTGATTGTAGTTGGCTTAACAAGTGAAATAGTGGAAAAAGCAACAAGAATTCACAAGGCGAACTTAGCACAGTTGTTGTTGTTGTTGTTTCTTTTATTCAGTTATTCATTTTCCTGATTACGCCCATCCGTGGTTGAGTGTAACATCAAACACATTTTGCAAAATTTTTTGGAAGAAGCGAAATCACCATTAGTCTTTTCATATTTGAGTTTTTAGTCTTAGTTTGACGGCGGTGCAATCGGGCCATATGACCCAGTCAATGAGTTTTGTTGTCTAAACTCTTATGTAGTTCTATACCGAAACCCCTCACTAAAGAGAAAAAGAAGAAAAGCCATGTTTATGATTGACAGGCTGAAAGGCCGAGGCAGACTTTTTATGAGAATACCGTCGGCGCTCAGTGATGGAAGCAAATCAGGTGCCAGATAAATCATCGGCTAATATGGTGAGCCAATCGGTGATTTTTGCTGTGATTGATCGCAAAACCCGAAGTTGGCTATTAGAACTAGGAACCTTAGGCATCAAAATCATCAAATTCTATCGCCTTTAAGGCGCAGAAGTTTTGGACCAAAACTCAAGGCTACAAGGTGTCCAGTCCTTAGCAGACTGCGGAAAAGCTTCCTAGGAGCAGACTTTCTGGTCACGGATCGTGGTTAACCCTAAAGTTCTTCTACCACTATTTTTTTTTGAAGTTTCAGAAACAGTTTCCAATTGAATCCACCATCGCTCACTGGACTGACTGAATAGGTGGATTGTAATTTTTAATACTTTTTATACATGTAGATATTTAAACTACCTAACAGACGATATTTTTTATGTATATATGCCATATGTACATATGCAGGTTACATATATACACACATACTTGTATGTACATTGGGGTGGTCCAAAAAAAAGGTTAAAATGTTAAGCTCTCACCCTCTATGATATTTCTAAATGAAAAAAGAATACTACCCATATTTTTTTGTTAGCAAAAATGATATTTATAACTGTTATGTCTCTAGGGCCAATTTTTCAATTTCCTATGTGGTAGGTTAAGGAGCTTTTCGACCGGTTTAATAAAAAGCAAACAATGTTCATTTTTCCTACTACGCATTTCGATGTTATTGACATCTTCCTCAGGGAGTTGATATCAGTGTGTGTTTTTTGTTATATTTTTTTTATGTTTATCTAATGTAAGTTATGTTTTTCAGCAAAAAATTGTTATAGCAACGAATTGTAATTGTTATAACTTTTATGTACATACATGTGTGCCTATTCGGTTGTTTTTATGTTTTGTTTTCAATAAACACCAGACTCCCTTACACTACCCCATATTTAGAACTGTCGAAAAGATCATGAAGTTTTCCATGTATTTTATATGAAAAAAAACTTTTTCGTGGAAATTGTTTAGAATTCTTTAAAATCAATATTTTGTGACCGGAAAACTCTGTTTCTCTTCCAATAATAACACCCAACTGTTTATTTTAGCATTTTTTAATATTATTGATTTTTTATGGTTCCCCCGTTGCATTTTTTGGGGTTTCTGGTGACCTGCAAATTATAGTCAGTATTCAAAAATGGTTATGATAAGAGCGGGAAAAAATGTTCATGACACTTGCATTACAAAAGGTTAAAACCCATTTAAAAATGCAAAATGTTTCCGAAACTTGTCAAAAACAATTCTAGAATTCCGAGCGGAGTGACTCTTATGAAAAGGATCGGAAGTGCATTCTTATGGTTTTCTGTCTTCTTGAGAAAAATAATATGTAAGTATTTGTAAACTGATGTTATTCTACATATCGATGGCTGAGTGGAAGATCGACCTATCTCGGCAACCAGTTCGAAAACGCTCTATCTCAAAAAACTTTTCAAGAACGCCCTATTTCAGAATTCGTTTCAAAGACGTCCTATCTCAGCTGCCGATTCAAAAACGCCCTATATCAGCATATTTTCAATAAATTTTGAAGTGAGATAGGGCGTTTTTGAACCGAATTTTAAAATAGGGTGTTTTTCAATTAAATTCTGAAATAGGGCGTTCTTGAAAAGTTTTTTGATATAGAGCGTTTTCGAACTGGCTGCCGAGATAGGTCGATCTTCCACTCAGCCATCGATATGTAGTATAAAAGTACGGATATAAACTTAAAAACAGAAAACTGGAAACACAAATACAAATATTACAGCATACCACTTACCATCTGCGCGCAAGTAATCGTTAAGTATTTGAAATAGTGGAAATGAGTCCCACGTATCAGGTGCCTGTTCGGAAAGAACCCTATCCATGTCCACGGCAAAGAGAGACCAGAAAATCTCTGCATGTTCCACCAACAGATCGCTAAACCAAGCGAATGCCTAAACAGCGTAGAATAAGAATTGGGAAAAAGCATAGCGTAAGACACAGCAAATAGATTTATATATATATGTGCTATATTAAGGCGGTCCAAAATTTGTTTTCCAGCCACCCCCGGAACTGAAGTATATAGAAAATAAGAAGAAAATATTGTTTTCAAATTGTTAATATTTATGTTAAGGTGCAAGCTTCCAATTTATTTTATATGAAGAAAATGCATGCGAAAAATATATTTTCTCTGTGTAGATACATAAATACATACATGGAAACCTTCCAACGCCCAGTTGGTCCACAATGACATTTGATACCCAGTTTGTGCCCGTAATGTAAAAAATTAGTATATTTATATACATGAATTTCAATGTGAAGTCAAAATAACAAAAGCAAAATGGCCGATCCAATATAGAGGCGAAAATCTTATAAACAATATTTTATGTAAAAAATAATAAGAATAGTTAATTAATTAATGCATAATTAATTAATTAGTTATTCTTTAATTATATTTTTAAAGAGATTTTGGGGTCGCTAAATTCGAATCTGAAATCAAAATAATAAAAACAAAATAGCCGTTCCAATATAACGCCTAAAACCAAAAAAATGGGTTAAATTTGAAAAATGTTAATTTGGGTACAAAATTCGCCTTAAACAAAATGTCGGAAACGGTCGCAGTCAATAAGTAGTTTTATAGTTTGGAATAAAATTACCTTGAAATAAACATAATTTTTTGTGAAACAGTGAAAAGGACTTATATCTTTTTCTTTAAACTCAAGTGAATTAATTACTAAAAACACAGGCCTTCGATGGTCTAACCTTAGAAAACTAATTAGCAATTCTGGCAGGTATTATGAAAAAATTTTATCACGTAAATTTTCCGAGAAAATTGGTTTTTTACTTTCCTTAAGTTGCCGCGTATTTCAAGCGTAAACTTCGAAATTCCATACAATTTCTGATTTACTTAAGGGCTGTTTACATACGACTATTGCTTTGCTGTGCTTCAAAATTCCGCTTTGACAGATAAGTTCAATACATGATTGTATATGAGGGTTGCTAAATAGAATGCGAAAAAAGCAAAACGAAGCAAAATCATGTGCAACTCTCAACTTTTGCGCGCTTTGGCGATCAGCTGTATACATGTATCTTTTCTCACGCACTTACATTTGAATTTAAAGGCAAATATGAATTATTATTGTTAGCATTAATGCATATTATTATATTTTTACCTTTTTTGCACAGATAAAAAATGGAGGAAAAATACAACCCAGAGGCTGTCAAAGCGTTTATTGTAGCATGCCTTCTACGCTTCACGCTTTGTTGTTAAAGTTCGAATTGTCAATGCCTTTCCTTTCTCATTAAATAGGCGTGCGATGGTTTCCGCCTTGAAAAATTAATAAGCAATTTAGTTAGGAGTTAGGTACTAGCTACGAAAAAATAGCAAAAAATTCCGTCACATAATTTTTCCGAGAAAATTACTTTTATTATTTTTCTTAGTGTTACCACGCATTACTGGCGTTAACTTCGAATTTTAAATAGTTTTTCTTATTTACATAGTCTTAAGGGGCACTTCTAACTAATACGGTTTTTTTTTTAGTAAAAATTGTATTTTTAATTATTTAATGTTTGTTTTTCTTTCACGAAAATTGTTAAAACTTACTTTTTCAGTTTTGTTAGTGTTAGCGCGTATTAATAGCGTTAACTTCGAATTTTCATAAGCTTTTATTATTTACTTAGCCTTTTTAGGGGTATTTTTAATCATTGCTATTTGTTTTTAAAGTAAAAATTTAATCATAGGTTGGATAACTTTTGGCTTTTCATGAAAATTGTTAAAAATTCTAGAATATGCATTTCATCAATTAAATCTCGTTGAGTTAGCCAAAAACAAGGCTGAATTTTTATTTAGCACACCTAGATATTTAAAAATATAATATAATTATTGGAAAGGGGGAAATATTATTTAATTTCGCATGCCTGTGATATTAATCAGTAGAACATATTAAAAACGTTACAAATAATTCATTATATATTACTCACTTGTAGAAGAAAAACCAATTTTAAAAATTTAAAATCGATGGCTGGCCAACCTTAAATAATAAAATCCCAAAATCGATAGTTTTTTTGGGATTTATGGGCACGAAATAGGGACCAAATATCACTGTGCGGCTCATCAAATATTAACCGATTTCAACATTAAAAAATGCGGGATTTTCGCCCATATGCAATAATTCTGGGGTGGCAGCAGGAAAATTGAAAAAGTTGATTTTCCTCGAAATTTTTCGACCACCCTAATGAATTGTAAATGTTGTACGCATTCAAATGCATGCATGTAGGTACATGTGCATGTGCGTTTATTAGGAGCATAGCATTACCAGTGTCAACAAATCAGTCATTTCATTAATACGTATGTTAGTTAATTTCTTATATTTTGAAATGGCCAAACAGTTATTAATCAGTTTTAAAATGCCAATAATTTTTATGTTCCGTTTTTAAATTGCCAAAATGACCACTTTTAAACAAACACAAAATTATTATACCCAAAGATTATATCCAATTTACAAATGAAATTACCAAAAAAGTATGTAAACAAATGGATGTGTAGCTTTTAAATTACTACTATGTATAGTTTTTCAATCACCAAAAATTGGTGTTTAATTTTTAAATTTGCAAAAAAGTGCTTCCTTCAAAAAATTTTGTCTAGTTTTTAAGTTACCAAAAATGAATGTCGCGATTTAAAATTACAACAAATATATAACCGTATTTCAAACGAAATACATTTTTAACGTTTCGTTTTTGAATTGCTTGTTTAAATGCTTGCTTAATTTGCTTGACTTACGAGAATGTAATGCCCCTAAGGCCATGCCTAAATACATACATATACATATACCTGTGTTCGCGGCTTAACAACTTAAGTCGGAATGTTGGCTTCAATATAATGCTTCATTCCGTTTATTATTTAAACCGCAGGGAACTTTTTTATGAGGCTAATGGGAATATTTTGGGAGGGTTAGTGGAATCGGAATTATTTCTTTCATGTTTATTTGCCAATAGTGCGTCATTCGCACGCGTAAATTAATCTAGAACCAACCTCCCGACTTAATCTTCTATGTGATATGAACACAGCTATGTGCATTTATGTTTAGTAACTATTTATGCACTAAAGAGAAGTTAATGAAAATTTAAAATGATGTTGGAAAACGAGTTTGCATGTAGATATGCAGTAGGCATGTATGAATTTATGCATAAGCATATGTATGTATGTTGTTTTAGAGTTTTACTAATAATATGGGATTCAAACTACGCAAAGTGTGTTTATAAGAAGTGTGAATATCTTAAATTTAGGTGGGTATAAACTTGCGAAACTCGATCACTAAAATACGTAATTTGAAAAACGAAAAATTACAAAATGCTTACCATTGAAAGTATATGTACATATATTTTAAAAGCAAAGTGTGCAAAGAAATTCATTTTAAATTGCATTCTGTTTAACAGCAGCATCTACGACTACACTGAAAATTTGTATAACAGGCTAACCTAATATTCACGCACGCCGCCTATTTACTGTCAAAAATTTCTCATGCACATACAACTTGTATGGGACCAACCGAAATTGAGCGGCGTGCGTATGAAGCTAACTCAATTTCCAATTTTTGTTCTGCGTGACATTTTGATTTGACGTTTCGCTCAATGAAATCAAATGCAAACGCACGCAAGCCATGTTCGGGTGACGAAAAAAAAACAAATTCGACGGCGTGCGTACCAAAACGCAAGCCGCGAATATTAGGTTAGCCTGTAATTCGTATAATTCGACACCACACGTATGTACAAATACAGCAAAAGAAACTGTTTAACAAAGCCTACTGCGCCCGCTGGCCTATTGCCACCTTGGCTATAATATCACTGCAGGGTTCAGAGGTAGAGAAGTTAGCTAGCGACTATTGCAATAAGTTTTTTTAATGGTGACAGGCCAAAATTATCTTTCCATTTCAACTACGACCTTTAAAAATTGCAAATCTTCCACAACTTAATACTTTAGCTACAGATATTTATTTTATGTAATAATTTCTCGAAGAAACGACTCTAATGTTTTTACACTGATCTTCGAAGTTTATCCTTAACAAAGAGTTTTCGGTTCAATATATTTAATATGAAAGTATATCTATAAACAGGCAGATGTTTAAAACTCAAGAACCGTTGGGGGGG